GCCTCGAACGCATTCCCACTGCTACTTGGTGCAAGGGAGGGATTTTGCTCAGAATATCATATTTACCGCAAAGGATAGATATGATATTTTGAGCAAAATCTAGAACTTTTTTCAGGAAGATTTGTGATTTTGACTCCCCATCGCAACCAACCCTACAATAAGGCTTTATTTATGTTCTTGATATGCCATATAATTTCTTTAGGTAAAACTTTAAAATTTAGATTTTGGGTCATTATTGGGAGTAAAACACTTTGCAAAATGCAAAAGTGAGAAAACGCAACCCTGTCCGCTTCGTGATTTTACCACCGCGTCAACCACCAGAATGTACTGATTGTGCCCTTTGTGCTTAGTTATATGGGGAAATGAACGACGTAACTCCTCAACATCATTTAACTGATAATAAAGATAGATTTGAATTTACACTAGTAACGCTGTACATAACTTACCCGCATGAACATTTCGACCAAGTATCCTTCCCATGCTATAAATTTTCAGTGGTATAGATATGATTATACACGTTATGTCCCCGCAATCACCGGTGGCTGTGTCAGGCTTTGGTACGGGGTCATTGATGGAACGTTATGAGAACGAATAACCAATTGAAAATCTTTTTTCTTTTTTCTAATTTCTAGAAAGTCTCAAATATATCTTCAGAATACAAGCCACTACAAGCCATTAGGAAGAGACAATCGTAGCCGACCAAAATGTACATCAATCAAGAGTACCCTTCTTTCTACATTCTTTTCTTCTTAACGATACACAAGACCACGAGAATAAAGCTACTCTCATAGTGAGCAGTTCTATCCCGAAGACGTCATTTCTTCGAAGTTTTTCTTTTCACTTACTTTCCACAAGTTCAGTCATAACTAGTTGCGGAGCCAATTCATGAGCACGTGCTTGGCAATAGATTATTAACAACTGAATTAGTGATGACGACTGAAAAGAAATTAACTAGCGAACTAGTATGATGTGGAAAGATACATAGAACACACAAAAAGTTTTGATCCACATAGCCTTTTAGATTTGATTAGATGCTTGTTATCCTTTATTGAGGCGAAATTCAGCGTTAAATATCAATGACTCACAATTAACAACAATTTGACTAGAATTCATATCCATTTCATGCACAAAACAGTTCAAATGCGCTACACACAACAGACAAAGAACATTTCCAGAGTATATTTCAGCTAGATTATAAAACTATCGATGGAACAGGACGAGTTGAAGTTCGCCATACCGCTTGCGGCGTTTTGTTGGCAAAGTATAATGAAACTACTACTTAAAAATTGCAGTCGATCAGTCCATATAGAGCATTGAGTTGTTAAGTGAAACGAGACAATACTTATTTGTAACGATCAGGCAGATAAGGCTTACTCTGATCGTGGCAAAGCTGAATGATTCCTCATCACAACAAACGAGCGCTAGCAAACATTGGCTATGAATTCAAAGTGTAATTTCTTGCTATGCATTTCCTGCACCCCACTTATTAAAACTTTTGTAATGAAAACTACTGAAAACGAGAAGTTATCGCAAGATCTTACTGGCACAAGCTTCATCAGCTTCAGCTAAGAAAACATCTAGCTGCCGTAATTGGCGTACTATGGTCAAAATATACGCTAGAT